TTGAGGGAGCCAACCAACATGGTAAAAGATGGTTGAAGATTGTGAGGGAGCCAACCAACTTGGTAAAAGATGGTTGAAGATTGTGCGTGTGTGTGTGTGAGAGCGAGATTGTCTCCGAAATCTCTTGTATTATAAAGGAGGTTATTTACAAAAGCTCTTTCAAACTGTCCTAGTAAAGGAAGGTGGAAATTTGAAGACAAGTAACCTACTTTGGAGTTTGGATTCCCCATTAAAACACAGAAATTGTAGATGAACAAGAATTAGAAATATTGTCCAACCAAAAGAAAGAATGTAATCTAGTTAAGAATGATGGCTAGGAAGAAGCAGAAACAAGATCAAAAGAACTAGGTCCACCTAACTTATATAATTTAAGCTAGAAACAGAATCTAGAACTAATTTAATCAATTGACAAGAATTCAAGACATAGTACCTCACCTTATTTTCGGAAGCAGAGGTTTTGCTTCCTCAACATAATTACTGTCTACACTCAGGACTTAAGTGTCCATTTGATGAAGAACACATTCGTCTATATGCCTGCATTTTGCAAACGTTGCACACATGTTAAAAAATCTTTAACCCAAAAAACATTAGAGATTAAAGGTGGTCAAGCATGGGATTTGAGTGAACTAACAAAACATGTACCTCTACAAGACTTGCATCTTCCTCTTCCCCATTTCTTCACACCTACATCATAAATCCCCAATCAAATGAAACAACTAGGAAAATGATGTTGATCAAATCGAAACAAAAATCATTCAAAAGTTTGCAAACCACCATCACTTGTTCATTTTCAAAATCACTATCAGCATCATTACGTCTTGCTCATTTTAAATGCTTTGAAGGTAGCCTCATTTTGAAACCCTGAATTTCAAATGACAAGCAACAAAATAACATTAGTTGGGCTTCTAAGAAAATTCACAACAGTACATAGAAATTTGCGAAGGGTAACAAAATCAAATCTATGCTTCACCTGGAAACCAAATCAATTGAAACTTCCCAGTCTTTCATCTTGGTTTTTATGTATTATTGCTTCCAATTAGCATCTGCCCTGCTTGTAATAATTCAGTCAAATGTTAGAGACTGAACACTTAAGCCATCTAATGTTTACATAATCTCAGTTAGGCTACATCTAGATGCTTAAGCTCTTTGAGGGCACAAAAGATCTAATTCATTACTCATAGCATCCTCCATGGTTACCTGCCATCCTTGATTGGATGATGGCTTTGAGCTTGATTGAGCCAACTTCATTTTGTTGAATGGTGAAACCACATTGCTTTCAGCATAATTATTCTTGGAGGATCCTGAGATTCCTATAGCTTTTGGTTGAGCAGCGGCAATGTTTACAGGAGTTCCATCATCATAACTGCAGAAATTGCCGATGAAGGTGAGCAGCTTCAATTTAAAACCACTAGCAAGTGTTTTACTACTCTAAGATAGAGGTAGAACCAAGTACCAAATTCTCAAAAATCTGAACAAAAATATGATATTATTACTCTGTCTCTGAAGTCTCTTGTATATTCATAAGGGAGGTTATTTACAAAGCTGTTTCAAATTGGATATATACTAGCAAAGGAAGGTGGAAATCTTGAAGCAAATAACCTACTTTGGAGTTTGGATTTCTCATTAAAACACAGAAATCGTTTTGCACACCTCCACCATCTAGTGCACAATAGAATGTGGTAAATAACCAGAAATCAATGATAAGTAGAATCAGACAGTGAAATGATTAAATTTGAAAGATCTATGCACCTGGAAGACTAGTTATACAATGCAAAGCAGTACTCTCTTAAAGGTACGAAGCATGGATATTGGTTTAACTTCTCTCCCACACTCCCTTTCCTGTTGCCCTTCACCATTAGAAGTTATCTTAAAATTAACACCAAAAGCATCATCATTAATGCCGCCTTCTTCAACTGCTTCACCATCATCAGCACAAAAAGGTGCATCAGCAAGAAGTAAATAAACAAAAGAAGGAAAGGATAAAATCAGCTAAGAGAGTCGATAGAAAGAAGAGATTATTAGAATCACTCCAGTAACGTGAATTCTAGATAGAGTAATGTGAATTCTAGATGGTAATGTATTAAGTTTGGTTTATAATCTATTAAATGCATATAAGAATTAATCAATTTAGGCAATGACGCTCTGCATGTACTGCTTATGGTTAAGGAAATGAATTATTGGAACTCAGAATTGAATTATTACATCTTCTGGTGCACAACTAGATTTCGACTTTGCAAAATCACAAACCCATAAATTTGGTAATGAACCTGCACCGCCCATGTGAATATGCAAATATCAAATAAAAGTAAAAAAAGAACTTAGAAAAATTGTTTAGAATGAGACCATATGCAATATAAGATAAAAGAAACTACAAAGCATGTTATATTATTATAGTTGCAGGTGAATCATAATATTAATTTTGAAGGTTAATTTATGATCAAAATACATATACAGATAGAAAATGAACACAGAGCAAAATCAATACTCACTACTTGGAGTTTATGACACCAAATCTTGTGCAAAAAGTTCAAAATGATACTACGTAGGAGCACCTGGAGTTCATCGGAGACAGGAGCCTAGGACTCTTCCTGCCAATTGCCAACTGATTGTGCCAAAATTGGCATTTGCAATAATAATGAAATTAAAATTCTGCATGTTTTCATTTCAATGATTTTACTTCCAACTAAAAAAAAAAAAGTTAATTTAAATATTCTAATAACTGATTATCGCAAATTAAATAACTCAATAAATTTATTAGAACCAACTACGGATTTCTCAAAATTATAACCATACCCCTAAGGAACCCATTTAAGAAAATAAGAAATCCCTAAACAAACAAAGACTAGCAACCAAAATTCCTGGAAAAAACAAATCATTTCAGAAAATCTATAGGAGATTTTGGAATTACCAAAATGGAACAAGAAGATATAAAAGGAGTTAAGAGTTAAAATCATAATATTTCGTATGATTCCTCATGGAGTTCTATCAATTGTGACTGTGAGACCATCAGGAAAACGACCTTGTTCATAGATTCTCTTCACCACCTCAATTTGTTGAATAAGTCTTCCATTATCTGTTTTATTGTCCTATTCTTTAGGAATTAGTTGGGTACGTGCAGTTGAGTTTCTTATTTTTAGCAATGCATATCTTAGTTGTTTTTAGTGGCTAAGTGGCTGCTAATTTCTAGCTTAAGTTAGTTGTTTTTAAGCCCATTTTGTAAGGTCGTTTTCTTTCTTTGGAATAACATGAACAGATGAATTTCCTCTTCCAATTTGGCTTGAGTTTACATTCCTCTAGTTTGTTTCACTTGCAAAATCTGTTTATGCCCAGCAGGTGTTAGATTGAATTCCTCAAAGAATATTCACCTTAAAGCTTTTGTTCAACTCTGTTTTCTACATTTGGTATCAGAGCTTGGTACATTGAGGGGACCAAACATAGCAGCTAATGGCGTATGAAACCTTTGTGCAGCAAGCAATTCCTCGCTTTGATGGTCACTATGATCATTGGAGCATGCTGATGGAGAATTTCTTGAGGTCCAAAGAGTATTGGGATGTGGTTGAGTCTGGAGTAGCAGAACCAACTGCTAGGATGTCAGAAGCTCAGAAGGCAGAGTTGGAGGCTTTAAAATTGAAGGATCTCAAAGCCAAAAATTATCTCTTTCAAGCAATTGATCGGACAATCTTGGAGACTATTCTTTGCAAAGATACCTCCAAGCAAATTTGGGATTCAATGAAGAAAAAGTACCAGGGAACCACAAAAACAAAGAGGCAACAGCTTCAAGCACTTCGTTCGGAGTTTGAAATACTTCGAATGAAAGAGGGTGAGACTGTTACTAACTATTTCTCTAGGACAATGGCAATTGTCAACAAATTAAGGACCCATGGTGATAAGACACAAGATGTTACTGTTGTTGAGAAGATACTGCGTTCAATGACACCAAAATATAATTTTGTTGTCTGTGCTATTAAGGAGGCAAATGATCTTGATGAAATGTCACTTGAAGAACTTGAAAGTTCCTTGCTGGTACATGAAAGGAAGCTGAATCGACAAGAGCAAAATGAGCAAGCTTTGAAGGCCACAATTGGCACCTCTTCTTCATTTTCAAATAAATCAAACAGAGGAAGAGGCAGAGGTAGAGGAAGAAATCAGCAAACTCAGTTTTTTGAAGGAAGAGGAAGGGGGAGTGGCAGATTTCATATTTCCTACAGACCAAAGTCAGCAGACAAGTCCAAAGTTGAGTGCTTTCGGTGCCACAAGTATGGGCATTACCAATCTGAATGTCGAGCTAATTTGCCTAACAATGAAGGAGAAAAATCAAAATTTGCACAAATTGAGGAGGAAATATCCTTGCTGATGGTATGTCATGATGGAGAAGGGTCTAATAAGAACCTATGGTATTTAGACATTGGTTGCAGCAATCATATGTGCGGAGACAAGGCAGCTTTCTCCACCTTGGATGAATCTTTCAGAGATAATGTGAAGTTCGGAGACAATTCTAAAGTCTCGGTCAAGGGAAGAGGACAGGTGATGATTCAAATCAGGGGTAATGCTGCTCAAACAATTTCTAATGTCCTTTATGTTCCAGAATTGAAGACCAATCTGCTAAGTATTGGTCAATTGCAAGAGAAGGGTTATGAGATTATCATCAAGAATGGAGTGTGCCGGATTCAAGATTCCAAATTGGGCTTAATTGCTCAAGTTAAAATGACTACTAACAGAATGTTTCCTCTTCATCTCAACTGTGCTAGTCAGTCATGCTTCTCGGCAAAGGCAAATGATGTGGCTTGGCTGTGGCATTCTCGCTATGGTCATCTAAACTTTGGTGGTCTCAAGCAACTTCAACAAAAGAACATGGTGACTGGTCTACCTAATTTTGAAAGTCCCTCAATTGTTTGTGAAGAATGTGTTATTAGCAAGCAACACCGCGATCCATTTCCAAAGGGGAGTTCAACCAGAGCAAGGAGGCTATTGGAGATTGTGCACTCTGATATTTGTGGACCAATTAATCCAGTTTCCAATGGAGGTAAACGTTATTTCATTACTTTCATTGATGATTTTAGTAGAAAAACATGGGT